AAAAAGCTCTTTCGATCAATAATAATATGATTTATCAACTTGTAGCCATATTAAACCTCATTAATATGGAACAATAGTAGTAAGAGAATGTCACTATTTGCGTGAAACCTGGTGCCAGCTTTCTTTATAGGCTGCTATGTGCAGTGACCACAATTGCGATTCTTTGTCTGTCGTTATAATCGACCAACCGATTCTGAGTCCTCGACTATCGTTCCTAGGCTGAATCCATCTCTTGTTGTCTATGCAAGTCATTAGTGTCTTTGGTAAAGAGAGAACATGCATTATTCCATTTTTACACAAGATTCACCTATCAATGGTTCATTCGAATGGATCAATCCTTACAAGTTCAGAAATCCATTGATCACTTCCATAACTGTTCTATCCAAACCCAATCAAGTCATGTTCAGTATTGTGGACTCAACCAATGGGATAACTAACATTATTGGCGAAGAGGCAACGATTTTGCTTGGTTATTATACAAGGAGTGAAATCATTACCATTCTGAACACCATGACGATCATTCGGACGACTCATCGTCATCTGAGTACATCGAAATCGCAGAATTCGAATGCGTCGAAGATGGACATACGATTTTTCCACTCTAGGCTAGAAGTTCCATAACTATTTCCAATTCACTCTTTTTCTTCACTTTGGGCTTAATCATTTTGTCATATATATATATATATATATGGATACTCATTGCGACGAACATGCTTTCAACCCTGAGACTGGACAAAGGATCATGATTGGCACTCAAACCTGGAATCGATTTGTAGCCAAGTATTGCATAATTGATGGGAAGTTCACTGATTAACTTATTTCTGGTTCACGAGCATATGTGTCAAACAAGGTATGGAATGAGAATACGAGGTCAATGAAAACAGCAAAGAAACCAAACATACCACTCCTCGTAAACGAGTTGAGATCCCAAAGGAGAGCGTGAGTATCTGAATGTAGGAAGCAAGGCATAGAACGATATATCTCGAATATAAGTGGAACGGACCTGAATTCGGTGAAAAGCGAAAATGGCCGTTTTTTGAATTCGTGAACACTGTGGAAAAGAGACGATAAACACGATGAAACAGGTTCTTCGCTCTGTTCGATCGCATAGCCGCCGAAGGTTGCTTGTCAAATGTGATCGATTCCTCTCTCTGGTATGCACTCACGTACTATCATACCATGTATGGAAACATATACAAGGAATAGGTGAATGAAAAGCGCACCAAGAAGGACTTTCGCCTCAAAAACGATGATGACAAAAGACTATGGGTTTGACGTCTTGATGGAAAGAGCGATAGAATAGTGGAACCGATCAACCTCGTATTCGATAAAACCAATGAGTTCAATGAGGTAGCGAAGAAGTACATTATGAAAGGCATGCGTGATTATCCCCAGTGTTTCATCACCATCATGGCATACAATTTCATGTGGACACATGTTAAGGAACCCAATATTCTCAATCTCAGCGATGATCGATTGAGACACCTTCGCATCATTCACAAGGATCGCATCGACGAGTGGTTAGAGGATTAATTGAGATGGTACAGAAATGCCGTGGAGGAACAAAAAAAGAAAGGAAGTGGATTTGTTTACTGTGGTTGGATCGGCTCTTATCTCGAGATGTTCCCACTTCGCTCATTCGTTGGTCCCAAACTCTACACACCTTTGATCCTTGGATGCACGGTAGTTATTCCAATAACGAGGACAACCTGTGTTTGCAGCGGTGTCTCATTTTGGCAAGTGAAGGTGGGCATAGTCCATCACTCGAATCAGCGCCAACGAGAGACTCATCGAGAAGCAACTGGAGAAGATCTTCATAGATCGCATGGGTGGGTTTTCTCCGAACAAGCGCATTCGATTGATGGAAATGAATGAGATCGATGACATCATCCGAATGTTGAAGACCTGAGCGGAGACATCACTCAGATCGTGAAACTGCATACCAAGGTTGTCATTGGTGAAAACCTACAAGCGACATGGGATGCCTCCTGTCTCTTGTCCGACATCTACTATCTCGATGCGAACTGCCTGTATGGGGGAGTCATGCAGCGAATGATGCCTGATGAATTGGTTAGTGTGCTTCAACGACAGGAAATGATGTAGAAAATCAATCGCAACCCGAATAGATGGGTTCAATCACTCAAGACATTCGGCAAGTATGGATTCTTTGTCGAGTGTGATATCGAGGCACCAGTGGAACTCCACGACAAGTTCAATGATCTGCCATTTTTTCCCGTACAGAAGGCGGGCATGTACTCCGATGGAATCAAGAAGTACGCAGCGAGGAACGACATTGTGGACAAAGTGAAAGAGGTGAATACACCGAAGCTCATATGCGATCTTGTACCTCGTCAAAAGTATCTCGTTCATTACTCACTGTTGCAACTGGGCATTTAGCAGGGATATCAAGTCACACACATTCACCACATCATTCGATTCAAGCAGGCACCATTCATATTCGTATATGTGAACATGTTGAATGAGAAACGCGCCAAATCCATAACCATTGTGGAAAAGAACCTGTATAAGCCCATGGCAAACTCGACCTATGGCAAATTCGTGGAGACTGGATTGAAACTGACGAAAGTGAAGTTCGCCACCACATGGAATGAACGCGAATCCATCATCTAGAAGCATGGGTATGGCATGATTGCAAGAACCGCTAGTTATTCCGAGAATTTGTTCGGTATCAAGTTAAATACACCAGCGAGGAAAGTGATAAAGTCATTCTTCATCTGATTTGCCGTTCTTGACATGCCCAAACACACCATATACGATTTCGACTACAATTTGCTCAAGACGACATTCGATAACGTGGAACTATCAGGACATAACACGAATTCGCTCATCATGTAACTGGATGACATAGGAAATATTGCCCACAAGATGTGTGAGATGTACAAGTCGTTCGACTTTTCGGAGTTGGATAACACGAGCTACTTCTAAGGGCAACTCGTGAACTACTACAATTAGGAAGTGAACAAGAGCAAGTTCCCTTCATTGGACTCGTTCCTCAACTTCAACAAGAAGCTGCCTGTACCCACCTTCAAGGACGAGTACAACGGGCATTGTATCACTGAGTTCGTGGGACTGAGACCCAGGATGTACTACCTCGTGAATGAGAAGCAAGTGATACACAACGCCACGAAGGGAGTTCCACGAAATGTGGTAATCGATGTGGAGAGAATGAGTGTAAAGAACATCGAGTTATTCAAACATGCACTTGAGGCTGAGAAGAAGGGAGATGCAGTCATCGAAGGCAACTTCAAACTCTTCAATAACCAGGCCTTCGATATCACCACGAAGGACAAAACAAGACACTCATGACTTGCACGGACAACAAGCGATGGATCTTGGATAACAATGTACATTCACTACCTTATAGTCATTATCGACTGTCAAACATCTACAGACCAGAGAGATGAGATATTTCACTTTTAACATTAGATTCGGAACAGAGCAGTCATGGAAAGGATGTGGGAAATCTAACCCCATCGACCAACGACATCAGGGGTAGCCTAGCTTTTATGAGGACTCATGGTTGGGAAACGTGTTGAACCCGTCGACTCGGCTGACGGGTCGGCACTGGCGTTTTTTGCGCGAAAAAGGCGGCTATTAAAATTTGCGCATTTTATGCCATTTTAACACTACTTTATTATTATCGATATAATTTATAATTTGGGATCATTCTTACAGAACAAATAAATATATTTTTGCACTATAGCAGGGAGAGTATGCATTTTTTAAACAAGTGAACATAATTAGTTGCGCAGATGAAAAACAATAATAAATTGATTTTATGAGTGCTATAACGCCCAACGATTTGACTCAGTCCATGTCTGTTTTTTAGTCAAATGACTAAAGATATTGATATTTGTCTATTTTCTTGGTTATCCATGCTATTTGGGAAAGTGGAGAGTATTCAATAAATAAATATATGTGGATATGAAGAAACGCGCGTTGACAACTTAGCTATGAGTCTTTTTTTAAAGAAGCAGGTGTTTATATCTTGTAACTGTATAATAAGGAGAGAACTACACAGTACGCTCATATCCGTTACCCTCTTTATTGTTCGATTTTATTCATATCATGGTTTCGCTCTGACTTTTTGTAATACTTGCTGCTGTCAACCCGTTTTGTGATGTTTTTTCAAAAATATTTTATCCTCTTTTACCTGTTATTACACACATTTTCAAGAAAGTTTGACTTTCCATGCTTCACCTTTTATAGGCTGTTCCTGAATTACATTATTATGTGACAGAATCGTTTCCAGTATTATTTTTCGATAATGACCACAACGTATTAATTGCTGGTTCAGAATTGTGTATCATTTTACTTTATAGTAATTCAACTCGCAAGCATCATCTAATAGATGGTATCTAGTTGCATTCCTTAGTTCCTCAAATTGTCTCCCAAAATAATGAAACGTCTTCGTACAGAAATCGGTAGAAACAGCATAGCAGAACGCAAGATAGACAATGTCCAGACTCGTTCGTTCAATTCAGAATGTCCCTATTGCTGTGCTAACTTCGTAACGATGATCAATTTTGGAACTGTGGAACTGGACGGCCGCATGTCTCAGTGTTTTTTGATAGTCTTTCTCTGATACCCTACGTGTATTTTGGGTAGAAAAGTTGTTTTTTGTAAATTGGGCTTTGCTTGTTGGTAGGATTTGAGCCACATCTTCTTGCGGAGTGATTTGCATGATTCCTTACCGTGACGAAAATGTTGAAATTCGTCATCTGAACAGTCTAAAAATGTTGGTAAAGTGTATCCGATTTCTTTCCATCCCCTCGACGAGAAATCGATCCGTGACTGCATTGGCAACTCGGATATCGTAATCAATCTGGTTGGAAAGTACTACGAGACCAAGAATCAATCTGTATCTTCGAAAGAATTACTCGCATTCCTCTTTCTCTCCAGATTTCAAGACGTCAACATCTACTTCCCCGAGCGCCTCGCGAGTATCTGCAACGAGATGGGCAAAACGCATCTTCTTCATGTGTCGGCTCCGCAGTAGAACCTCAAGCATCGTTCATCCTGCAGACATATTCGGCGTAGATGACCGCCTGTTGACCTGGTAGAACCGCGGGGAAGAGTTTATTGGCAGGATCGGCAGTCAGCTACACATCTATCCGTGGCTGATCAATATCAATGGAAAAAGCTCTTATAACCAGCCTGTGTGGATGGGCGATGTGGCCGCGACGATTCGCAAGTACTGCATGACCCCGGACGCATTCGCGGGGAAGACGATAAAGTTGGCGGGACCGGAAGTGATCTCGTGGGCAGATCTGGTGGCATGATTCCAGAAAACGGTGGTGAGATCGACGAAGCTGCATCGCACGCCCACAACGCTGGCTCGTTGGTTCGCGTTCCTATTGGAGGTGGGAACGAAGCCGTATTTGTCGAGAAGCGAAATGGAGCTGCGTGTGACGGATACTATTCTGGACCTGAATACGGAATGTATTGTATTCAAGGATTTGGGAGTAGGAGCGATGGGGAAGATTGAGCGTAGATTGCTCCTCACAACTGGGAGTCGAAAAGATAGAGTGCGGTTCTGCGATAATGAAAAGGGAGGACACTGGTTGTATGATGATGATGGAAACGCAACTGTCAGAGTGATTTATGCTTATTGTGTTATGTTTTGCTTCGGTTTGTTGTAAATGCCTTTTGATAATGGAGGTGAAGGATTAATATGGAATATGGAACATTACAGATAATAGATACCGTTTGGTAGGAAAATAGGCGGATTCTATGAAATAGGAACAATTTTGGGAATTCCAATTATTCTCAAGAATTTACAGTTCTGATGAATGTGTTTTCTATTTGGCTATTCCACCATATAATACTTGATAATATTTATATAATGCAAATATATAAAGATCTACCTACTACTCATAAGGATAATACACGTGTAATTTGTGTCACTATTGATTCCAATGAAGAAAACACCGATATATATGGAATAATTGCATTTCAAGCGAATTGCCTATCATTAATATGGATATGGAGAAGGATGAGGCCATTTGTCAAATCGGTAGCCCTCATCACGGGTATACTCTAAAAGCAAGTCAAAAGATTGGAAAATTGGATGGAGAGGCGTTTCTTTATGACTATGACAATCAAGTTGTTGCAAGCTTCACTTATCAGGAAGATGTTGCTAATGGTAAATGTAGAATGTATTACAGATCCGGAGAGATCTATTTCTCTGGATTTTTACAAGAGGGTTATCGAAATGGTCCAGGAGTGGAATATAGGAAAGATGGAAGTACAATTTATGAAGGGTTTTTTTTAAGAATGGTCGTCGAGCACCCAATATCCAACAGAGATCGGATGGTTCAAACTACTAAGATGAAAAAGATGAAGATGGCAAAATGGTTTCACTATTTCAAATAGATGATAATGGCTTGAACCATGGAATATGTTATTTCTATTGTAATGGCGAAATTAGTAAGATCAGTAGATGGGGACATGGTAAAGAAACAGAGTTACTAAAGAAATTCAATGGTCCTATAATGAAAGTGCTTAAGAACGGAATAGAACTGTATAGTGGAGGGTATAGAAAAGAGTCCGACTTTGAATATATTCCAGTTTTAAGATGGATGTAGAGACTGAGAGTGATTCAGAGCAGTCAATAGAGGAAGAAAAAGAGTGTACGTCTACTGACGTAAAAGTACTGTTTGTAAAAATAGAACTGTATTTAGTATATTTTTGGATTTTTGAATTGGTTATATTTATTATACTTCTTTTCACTGTACCAGAAATATCTCAATATATGATATTTTTATGGCTTATTACGTTCGTTTTGATTCTATTTATTTCAATAATGTCATATTGCGTTCCTCCAATTGTTGACTGTTTTGTGGCATTGTTTTTCCCCGAGAATTAATGCAATTAGCAGATTGGATGTATATGTTTGTTTTCAGCAAACTTTAGTTTGGTTATTATCGAGAGTTTGCTCCGAAGTGAGTTTTATATATATATATATATAAATATTGTTTGTATATACTTGTTTCTTTCAATGGTATTTTATCATCCTTTTTTCTTTTTTATGTTCAAAATAGTTGTTTCTAGGATTGGTATTCAGCAAACAATATTATAGGGTATAATTATTGTAGTTTCTGTATAGATTACATGTTCAAAAGTGTCTAGAGTATAATCAATCTATCCATTCCATCATCAATATATGTGATTTTTTCAAATATCATATAAACCATAGTAGTTACTATATGATTCTATGTGCTAGGTGCATTATAATTGATTTTGAAATGTCGAGACTGTTGTTTCGACTCATCAAGTATTGTTTCTATGTGTTGCTGTAATTCATAAAGATGTTCCCACATCAATTAATTGGGCTTTTCAAAGATACTCTATTATTATTCTGTAAAACATAAGTACTACGTTTACAATTTTCTATATTATGTGATGAAAATTACTACTTTATATAATATGAAGGATTCGATTCGAATCATTTCCTTTAAAAACAAGAAGTGATCGGCCTCTTTCACACTATATTTCTAGGTTATATTGTTTTGTTATTACCATCAATACAAATAATTATTTCTTGTTGATCCTTTTTCCTTTTTGATTGATATTACACAAACTCATTTTTCGAAAGGAAACTCACCTTGATTCATTGTTGCATTGTCTTTTTCGATAGGTCATAAGTATTTCAACACGACTGATTGATGTCTCTTGCAGGATATACAGATTAGTTGGCATCTTGAAACAAGTAAACTCCTCAATAACATAGAGTCTATTCTTGTTCATCTCCACTATTTTTAACAGCTCTAATATATCGTCCGAAACGGTTGTGCAAATATTACTCTTCATCCTGGGTTATTGTGAATAATATCATAAAAAGGCTTTTTTTAGCATCATCCAAGAGAATTCTGTATCTTATATCGATTATTACAATATCACATGAGGATAAATACCTATAATTAGAATAAAATGCAATACTAGTTATGAGTCAGAAAAACGGAGGTAAAAATGGAAATCACTATTATTCTCCTATGGTCAACAATTTGGATAGTATACAAATTTAAGTGTGATAATAATATAGATACATCGAAGCAAGCTAGAGAATCCAGGTATTTACTCAATGATTTCATTACCTTTCAAAAGAAGAAGATTTCAATGAATGGAGTTGACTACGAAGTGACTCTATATCAAGGAGATCATTCAAATGAATATTTGATATGTGAAATGAAAGATGGGAAAGTTGAGGGTCGATGTCAATTATTCAATCGTGGAATTTTGAGTCTTGCATGGATGGTGAAGAATGGCAAACGAATCGGTGGAATAACTGAATATGAGAACGGTAAAGCATTAAAGAAGGAAAGTTGGGATTCGATCCTTGGAAATAATGGAGATCGAAGAATGATCGAAAACAGTAAAGAAGGATTAATCATGATAATTCGAAAAAATGAATGTGAAAATGAGCATAGTGATATAGTAATCTATCGGGGCGGGTTTGATAAAGAAATGAATCGAGATGGTTATGGAATCGAATATGATAAAGAAGATGGTAAAGAAAAGATTGAAGGTTATTGGTCCAAAGACAAGTTGATTCAAATCATTCGTGAATTTGATGCTGATACTAACCAAATGATCGAATATGCTGAAAACAATGATGAGAATGATGATGGTAATGTGGAGTTATTGAATCGAATTCCAATCTATATTGGAGGATATTGTATAGAAAATGGTAAATATGTAAGAAATGGAGTGGGATATTTGATTGATAAAGCAAGTGGAACAGCAATTCGAGAAAGTGAATGGGAACATGGAAGAGAGAAGGAAGGAGGAATCGATTTGTATGAAGGTTGGTATATGGAAGGAATGAGTGAAAGTATTCGAAGTGTATTGAAGAATGAAAAGCCAAGGGAAATGAAAACTGAACCAATTGTAAATGTGCCTTCCAAACGAATCACAATCTACGGTAGTTCTGAATTGAATGAAATGGATTTGAAAGTAACGGAATTGGTTTTCTGTTCGAACTGCTGTAATGATTTGAATGCATTGGATCTGAACAAATTCAAATGGTTAGAATCTATCGAAATTGGGGATGAATGTTTTGGATTAGTGAAAACATTCCAAGTCGATGGATTGAATCGATTGAAAACTATCAGAATCGGAAGCAATTCATTTACTCAAGCCAAAAAGAGTTGGAAAGATAACAAATCGAAATCATTCCACATATTGAATTGTGAATCATTGAAATCCATTCATATTGGTGAATCTAGTTTCAGTGATTTTGCTGGCGACTTTGAATTGAGGAATCTACCACAATTACAGTTTATCACAATTGGAGTATATGATTCTCCTTCATACAATTTCTTTTACAGTTCATTTGTGATTCGAGGTATTGATATGATATTGAATATTTGAATGATACATAGATCTTCCAAATCTGCAATCCATTACTATAGGTAAATGGGCATTCCAAGAGTCTCTAAATACAATAATTGAAAGTATTGAATGAATTTGAGTATATGATTGGCATAGATCTTCCATCATTGGAAATACTGGAAATTGGGCAAGCTGCACCCCATGGAGTTAATACTGATTCATGTTCACTGATAATGCGAAGTATAAATGAAATGAATTGAAATGAAAGAATGCAGATCTTCCAAAACTAAGAATTATTAAAAACGGTGGTAGTGGTTATGGTTTTCATTTTCCTCGTTCAGTTACATTGGAAAGTAGTGTTATATATATAAGTAATTGACAGCATTTAGATATTCCTAATCTTCAAAGTGTCTATCTGCCCTATTCTTTTCAGTATGTCAGAACAAAATCAATTTCGAGTATAGTTTGATTGATGTAATATTTATATAGATGTTTCTTCCATCCTTGCTAATCTTGTCAAAACTAGATCCTAAGTAATACATAATAAACCAATTCGATTATGATATTATATGATTGTTTTAAACCAGTTTTCCCAGTTGTTATTCTTTATATACTCTCTCTTCTGTATTAACAATTTGATACTGTTTTCTTTCTTTCTACGTTCGTTGTTTTCACTGATTCAAAACAATGATCACCGATTTCGATTGATTCCAAATTATACAACAATGAAACATCCCAATCAACCAATACACAATTGTCACTTAGTTTCAAATGTTTCATTCCGATATTCAGTGGTATGCTGCCATCTCCTTCATATTTTTCATCAATATCACATTCAATTCCATTATACCATTCACATTCATTCACTAATTTACCATATCGATCATACACTTTTCCAATTCCAAATCGATTATCGTCACACCAATATCCTTCATATTCAGTCAAACCATTATTATGATAACTCGTTCCATACCCAAATCGTTTCCAATTGATCGTTATGCCCTTGTACACCAAGAATCCACCATCATCATACATTTCACCATATCCAAATGGAATTCCAAACTTGTTTTCTGCCAATACCAATCCTTCAAATCGACTTCCATGATCCAAATCCACGATTCCTTCTTCTTCTACTTCTATGGATTGTTCTTCAATATAAGAAATAGCACCAATTTGATGATTTCCGAACACTTTCAACACTTTCTGCTCATTGAGTACAAATCCTTGATTCATAAATACTCCATTATCGAATTGCAATACTACATATTCTCTATTACTCAATATGAGTGAAATCCAGCCGTCGACTGTCCAACAACAATTATCCACTTCTCAGATCTACTTTGATATCGATGATCTTCTGTACAAATGATTATTCGCACTTGTCCGATATTATTCACTTAATTCGTTATTCTATGTTCTTACCGAACAACTGCTTTTACAATTGTTCATCATCCTATAGTTCCTATATAGTATCATATTGTTTAGCTCATTCTCCATCACCTTAGCCCCATTATCTACTCTACTTTGTTTTATTGCCTACTCCATTTACTTCCTTTCTTGAACGAAATCACGATATGCTGTCATCCCTCCTATTATTCCCCTCTCTCTTTCCAACAAACACACCAAATATCACAAAACTTCGATAATTCACGTGGTGAAACCAAGCACACATAGCTCTCCTGTGGATTGTTTCCCGCACTCAACCGCTTCACCAACTGATGATCCTCCATCTCCTTCAAAATAAGCTGCAACGATTTCTCGCTGCTCACCAACATCTCCGACAAACATAGTTCATACAATCCGGTGAATGTAAGTCCTTCCTTCGACCCGCTCGTTTCTCTCGACAAAAGCATTAGAATCTTCAAATGGTTGCTCGTGAGCGATGAAAGCACATAGCCAAGACCCGAAGAAGATCGAACTTTTCCCGCCTGTGAACCCTGCGACATAAACATGATTTCGTAATAGTAAGGAGCGAAAGTCGTCGCGTCATGATAAACAAACTGGAAGTGAGAGAGTGCAGATGACGAGAAAAGAAGATTCCCTCGAATGTGGTCCACCGAACAAATCAAATGAACGCATGGAAGCGCGGATAACTCGCCCAAATAATCGATACTCCGGGAGTTTCGAAGGCCTGCGCCGTCGATTGAATGGATGACGATAAACAAATGGCTGGTTGCAGTCGCGCAGCCCTCCAACACGCTTTTCATCTGTGCATCACATCGTATTTCCACGGTTTACAAGCTGATCTTGACGCAGACCGTCATTGTGCAGCGAGAGAAATCGAGTCGCGATCAAATTGAGAAACTCGGAGAGAGAAAACGTCGGATTAAAGCCATTAATCACAACGCAAAGCTCCTTTCGCAAGGCTGTTCGTTGGAATTCTTTTAGAACCGTGTACTTGCTTCCCAATCCTGTTAACATAATGTTAAATCCCCCGAGCAACTAAATGAAAGCAGGCAGAGAAGAAGACCTCGGATTTCCAGGTTCCGTATTGCTGCTGGCATCGAAATCGCTGGACTTTTCCTCGTTCCACGTGTTTCGGAGGCTGTTGAATCAGCAGTTGAATGGATTCCTAGTGAAAACGCAAGGGAAATCAAAACGCTGAGATCCAGAGATTGGTTGTCGTCGAGGTGAAAGGCTTCCTCGTCTTCGTCCTCGATGATCGTTTTGCTCCGTTTTGATTCATAAAAACTTACTCCTTCATCATTATCTTCTTCTTCTTCTTCTTTCAGTTTGCGTTTCTGTGCTTTCTTCTCCGCGTTTTTAATCAGATTCCCGACGTAATCGCGCGATAACTCCACTTGCTCCTCTCCGTTTCGCTTCGAAACCACCACCGCATCGCCTCGCGTGACGCGTTTCTCCAAACACCCCGGACAATACCAATCTCCCGACGGGATTTCTATCCTCAATCCCTCAGCAGAAGAAGATACGCTTCAACGGAGGATTCAAACAAAACAAGTGAAAGCCTTTGTCACAACCATCGCAAAGAAGCAGCGATTCTTCTTTGTCCGATCGTCCGCATACCTCGCAGAACGCGCTGGCAAAGGTCTGTTTCCCGTGTTTCTCGCAGTAGATTAGTGGGGTGTCCTTTTCCTCGTTCCAACCAAACACGCAATGATTCAATCGACCGCATAAAACGTGGAAGCAGGAGCGACAGCCACGACTATTGCAGTATACGACGCTTCCTTTCTTCGTTTTGCAGAAGCAGCATATGCGTCGGAAACGCTGTGGATCGCAATTGTTTGTATAGGTGGCATTGTCCTCATTTAGGAATACTCCTGGAACATAGGTTATGCAGGAGATGTGAGCCCACTATGTGTTATTTTTTGCACGGACCTGTACTTTGGAAGGATCCTTGTCATTTTGCTTCATTGCACGGAGTGTTCGAATCGGACAAAATTCGCACCTACAGATTATATAAAATTCAAAAAGTTACTCAGGAGTCTCTTTTAGCTTATGTTTACAGAGATCACACACGAACGTCCTTCCACTGCCCTCATAAAAAATGCACGCCTTGTGGACCTATGGTCACAAAGGAATCGGTCAAATTACTTGCATCCCACACACTTTACAAGTAATCGGGATATCCCCTTCCACGGACGCTGACAATAATTCTGAACAAATTTGGCATAATTTTTGTTTGGTATCAGGATCTTCTACGAGTCTATGCCTAACTTGATCTCAAAAAGGCAACGTTTTCTCCTCCTCTTTTGGTATTATGCTCTTTGAGGTCTCCTGAGATGCCTTTCTACGGGGCATGGATATGTGTACTTCGTCAAAGAAAACACTTGGCTTGTGAACAAACATAAAGAAAATAGAGAAAAGGAAGATAGAAAATGATAAGGGTTGCCTTATCGGATGTCAACTAAAGAGAGAAAAAGAGACGAAGGTAATGAAGAATCTCCTTCAAAGAACAAGAGTCGCTGGAATGAACACTCTCTGAAAAATCAAAAGGCAAGTGTATTCTCACTTTCACTTTGCATGACGCTCAACTCATCTTCATACGGACGGTATCGGGGACGAGCAGTATTTTTACGCTTTAGGGTATAATGTTCAGTATGAAAATCAGAGTAACTCTCCTCTTCCTCCAACCGGCAGGAAGAAAGAGTTGAAGCAGTACCCGCTTCGTCTACATCCCATCTCGGTGACAAGACGATCTCAGTACTCTCGTTGTTTAAAGAATTCATTAGAAGAATATAACGGTACTCGTCCAGAATAAGTTCGATTCTGCAATATGATTGGTCAACCTGTGTCTTCGTTTCCACAGTTGATAATGTGTGTTAATAGGATTCATACAGGTGGTACATTGACCTGGTGTACCATGTTATAAGTATTCTCATTTTTGGCAAATGGCGGGTACTATGTCTTCAGTTTGGATATTTTCAGGTGGATTCACTTATTGAGTTGTATGCTGCAGATGTCAGCTCCAGTACTCATTCGTTTTTTAAATGATGATTCCCTCCTTCCAGCAAACTGACGAATGCAGTTGCTGGCTCCGACTGAAATATTCTAGGCGTCTATCGTCGGCGTTTTTCAACGAAGAGTTGTTTTATGAGCTTTTTCCTGATTGCAGTATTGTTTCGGTTGTTTTAGTCAAAATCGTCGTAGTTTGGTGGGGGAAATTAGGCGCAGGGGTTAGTTTACGTTCATTGTGAAAATCTCAGTGCAGCAAGCAGGATTTATACTTTGTGTTCTAGCGGAAGTGCTCTTATTGATGGAAAATACGCTATTCACCCAACCTATGTTATTCCAGTGTCAGCAGTCACTTCTCCACCTCCTGAAGACATTCAATATGATTTACAACAAGAAGACATTACCCCCATGGAGTCTTCTCCTTTTTCGGAACTCTTTCATCTCTTGCGCAGTCTATATCATTTTGAGGACGAAAACTCTGTAGTTGCTCCTTTTCTCTACCCATTCAGGATATCCTACTTACAGAACGGATTGAGCAACCGGGATCGACCTGGAAGGCTTGTGTTCCGCGCTATGAATGGAAGGAGATCCCTCCCAGCGTGAAAGCGCTGCTTCCGTCTCGTTATGACTGCGTTCTCCTAAAGTGTTTTCGGGGTAAAGAAGCCACTCCGATCCATTTAGACCACAACTTGTTCGACTCGCAGCTCACAGCGTTACTTGACGCTGATCCCACTTCCGACATCGTTGTTTACAACACACAAACACACTTATACTTCCGTGAGGGCGTGAGCATCTCCAACGTCCCTCGCTTTTCCTCTTTTTTGTGGTGTCGTAGCAAAATCCAAAAGCAAAATCGTCTGATCGTTCTGTGTCGTCGAACCTCGCCTGGATTTACCTGCCGTTGCAACGGAGAGTTGTGTATCCAGCGAATCCTCCACGCCTCTGCAGAAAAGGAGGGGATTCAGAAGGAGTTCGTGGATCAAGTGGTTCTGGATAGTTTGTTTTACGTAGTCATACGAGCGAATCGCTTCGTATTTCGCTCAATCCACAACCAAATTCTTTAAGCCTGTGAATGCCTTCATTCAGTCGTTCCACAACGCGATTCTTCTCGATACCGGCTGCGGAGACTGCAAATACATTTGTAACCACATGCAGAAAGTGGCGCGGGCGCGGCAAAATGTGATTCTCGGTCAAGATAACAGCGATGCGATGCTTCGACTACACAAATATCCCGAGTGGAGTCGGTGCTGTTTAGTCCGAAGCGATATTTGTAATCTCTCCATGGCGTATTCTTCTCCTTCCTTCTCTCCCTCTCTCTAGTTCCAATCGATTTGATGGCGTGCTCAGCATCTCCGTTATCCAGCACCTCCCTTCCAAATACAAGCAGCTCGAAGCCATTCAGAGTCTCGTTCGTGTTTGCAAACCTGGCGGACGCATTTTGATTTATGTCTGGTCGTTCGAGAAGGAAGACCGCAAGCCGCGCTTCCCCAGTTCCTCTCAAGATCACTTCCTGACCTGGGAGCTTCCCTCCGCTTCCTCCTCTCCCACCCAAGTGACTCGCTATTTCTATCTCTTCCAGCACGGCGAGTTGGACTGGCTCTGCTCCTACGTTCCCTCCGTTCGCCCTCTCCGCCGCTTCTTCGACGGCAAAAACTGGTGTATCGAGCTTCAAAAACTCTCCCTTCTTTTTTAACAAACACTCCAAAAGACTATACTTCCTTTCTTCTCTTTCTCCCTCTCTTACAAACACTCCAAAAGACTATACTTCTTTCTCTAACAAACACTCCAAAAGACAAAGATCTCTTCCTTTCCTCTCTCAACCCCTTCCATCCTCTCAATGCGTGTTTCCCTCCTCCACATACTTCGCAAACGTCGCCGCCACAATCAGCGGGAACACCAGCGTCGCCTCCGCATACACCTTCACCGGCTTCGCGTTAATCCGAATCTTTCCCCACGAAATCGCTTCTTCCGGCCTCGCTCCCGCATCGCTTCCATCGAACTCCTGCGCCGTGTTGATGTACACCGAGAAGTCCGCGCCGTTCCGCATCAGATTCGCGTTGGCGACGTGGTGCTTGACCACACCGCCTCCAATGATGATCATTCCGGTCTTCGGCGCGTGCTTCGCGATCGAGTTGATCGCCACGATGTCCTGCACCACGTCGATCACCAGGCCGGGGTTCATGTACGAGTGGAAGAACAGCATGTCGCCGATGCTACCGTCGGTAATCGCGGGGCAGAACACAGGAATATTGTTCTTCGAACACCAGTAGTACACAGACTCCTCGTTCTCGATGCGCTCGCCCAGCAGCTTGATCATCTTCGAAGGCGTCCAGATCTCGCCCTGCAGTGAAGGGTCCACCCAAGTCCTACTTCCTTTTTCTGCTTCTCAAGCATGTAATCGAGGATCGGCATGATCCAGTCTTCGAAGTCGCAGTAGTCGTCGTTGGGAACAATGAGGTTTCCAGTGCGGTTCAGGCCCTTCAGACGGAGGTCACGGCCGTCCAGATCGAACTTGCCGATGTAGAACTTGCTCATGCATTTGATGAAGTCCTCCTCGATTCCTCCGCACGTCGTGACAACCACATCCACCAAATGGTGCTTCACCAAGTAGTGAATGATCTCTCGCATACCGCAGCTCATCATGTTGCTGGTGTACGAAAAGAAGATCGTGCACTTCTTGTTCTTTCGGAATTCAGGGTCGCTCCACTCGTCAGGCTCATTCGGCAAGGGAGTGTCGTCAGAAAGTCTCCAGTGAAGCTATGCGGTCAAGGAAGAAGCAAAAACAATACCATGCGATTGATTTCATCGATGGCCGCAGACATGTTTGTTGCCTGGAATCCCATCGTAGCGTAGGACTCAAGAATACCCGTGAGATCGATTCCATTGTCGAAATCGTATCTAAAGTCAAGCAATAGCAGAAATCGTACCCCTTGACCACCGGAGTATTTTCGGGTAATTTCGCAGATTTGGCCAAGACGGCATTAATCAAGTCTTCTGGGAGCTGTGTGTTCATATCTCTTAGAGAAAGGAATGGAAAACAGAAGGTAGGAAAAAAGAGGTATTAAAAACTACCTGGTCAAAGAATTACGACCGGTCAAGTTGGCGTAAATGATCCGAAGGTGAAATGTAAATTGGGACCACACTATGGTAGAGCGATATCCAACTAGTACTACACAATAAAGCGGGGTGGGTCGTGGTCTTTCGCAAACAACCATTATTATTATTAACAACAACAACAGCAGCAGCAGGCCTTGCCGGCTATTTTCTGTGCTCTCCCTACAAGAATCCTCACACACACCAAGCATGTCTCCAACAAACACTCCAACCGAACAACCAGTCGCATTAGTTCTCTTCTCCCGACCAAAACGAAAAAGCAAATCGTTTCTCATTCACCAAAAAGCTCAAATTGATCACAGCGTCCCACAGTGGAATCGACACTCCCACTCCCGCACTTTTCTTCATTCCCTTCATTACATCGCTCATCTCTACAACTCATTTCCTCCCTCCACACCCACTCTCCCCCCAATTCCACACATTCCCCACCTCATAGAACGCTCGGCACCTCGCTCTCCCCACCCCCAGCGGCAGCGACAACTCCATCCCCGCGGTTCCGCAGCAATCTCCGCCCAGCAAATCGCCCTGCTTCCGCTCGCCTTCCGGCGCACTCCGCGGACCGAAGCTCCCGCGCTCGAACCCCGTCACATACTGCCGACCTACGTTCCACCGTTTCCACGTTTCTACCCAAGAAGAATCGGTCGTAGAACCGCGATTTTCGCTTGTTCAGCGGAAGCAGACAGCCGGCTTTCCCGCGGAAATGCAGCAGGAGCCCGGGCTGCGAGCGAATCCGCGGGGAAAGCGCCTGGAAGAACTCGGCGTCTCCCTCGCATTTGAGCGCGTGGACGTCGCCCGCGAGTCCGAAGTAGGTCTGCGCGTCAGGCGAAAAAAAGCGGGAAAACGAGTTTGCCGCGCAATTGATGACCCTGCGCGGGGAACAGAGCGGTCAGTTTCCCGTGCTCGAAGCGAAGCGCGACGCCGGAACCGAGCGAGGGACGGCATTCGCGAAGCATGCTGCACGTGACCTCGTCGAAAAGTGGAAACGTGGAACTGCAGTAGCTGTTGCGGATTCGCTCTTCGTCGATGTCTCCGAAGGGACTCATGTCGCGCCAGCTCCAAAATACGTCCAGCCAGAAGTGCTGGGAGCGAGTGCCAAGCGAGAGCGTCGCTGTGTCCGCGTATGTCGTCACGCCGCTGTCGACCACGCGGTTTTTGATTTCGCTGCGATAAGAACGGGAAAGAAAACATTACTGATCAAGGGAGAGTTGCAGAGGGAGGCGAAATAGGGATTTGGGGGTTTTGTATTGTATGCCAAAGCTGGAATCTCCATTGAAAATGCCGTAAGCTGCAGAGGCTTTGAGAATGTCCAGTTTGTTTGTGAGGTTTACGTAGGACTCCGAAAGTCCCTATGACACACGAATTCAAAGAGAATACAAGCATCACTTCTTCCTTGTCTACAGTGTCTACCAAAATCACGTCCGGTTTGAATCCACGGCGTTCTTTCACGTCGACACGTAGTATCACGTCGGTAGAATCTGGCGTGGAATCCTCCGCTAGACATTACACGCTTTACAAACAGTTACGAACGTCCAAGGTGATTTGACAATCTTGGATGAAATCTTGTGACTCTAAATCAGCCTTCATTACATTAATCTCCTCGAAAAGATCAAGAAAGCGAGTCACCTCCTTAATCCTCTATTCATTATCACTCTCTACACGCTTAGTACAGGAGGAATCGATCTCTCAATATCCGAATCTCTTCGAGTGAGTTTCTCTCAAAAACAGCTTACGGTATACGACATCCCTTTTCCTTTCGAAATCCGGCATAATGAACCGGCATATTGGAAATAATCTCATCAACTTCACTCATTCCCGGTGATTGAAACAAACAATGGTAATTCAGTCCCTTCTCAAACTTTTGTCTAAACAATGATTTTCTCTTCGGCTTCCTCTCTTCACTGGTGACTTCCTTGGCATCCACCTCCCTGACATACTCCCTCTCCACCACGACCGGCTTTATACTCGTCGTTACTCTCTCCACCACTCGCTTATCCTCCTCCGTCACCTTCAATCCCTCCTTCTCCGGCAATTTCGGTTCCACCACACTCTCCGAGACGGTGGTCTGCACCATGTCCCTGCATGATTTCTTGTGTGTCGCCCAGTGCTTCACCTGGCATTCGCGCGAGCAGTACCACACCGCCTTGCATCGCGAGCACTTGCTTCTAGCTCTCACACCCATCCACCGACCCTACGATACGTTGGGTTTCCCGCAGTACGCGCAGCTGTGTCCCGATTCACTCACGGTTTCCACGGTTTCTCCATTCTCATCCTCTTCATCTTCGTTGTCATCTTCGTTGTCATCTTCGTTGTCATCTTCGTTGTCATTGTCATCTTCGTTTTGGTTTTGGTTTTGGGCGGGACGTTTCCATTCCCCGCGGATGAGGACCTCGTTTTCCTCGATTACCCCTTTTCCACGTTCTTCGATGAAACTGCTATCCAATGCGTTGGATCGACGCACAAGGTCCGACATGCCGGGCACATCGCTGGCATTCGTCCCATTGCTTGCTCCATTGTCAATACTGGCTTTACTAGCAGCGTTCTTTGCTGATTCCGGACCTTGGATCAAAACCGGTTTGCTTCCATCCGAAGGAACAAACTCGATGATCTCCTGAACATCTTCGCTTTCGTTTGTAACATGCGCTTGAGACTAGGGGAATACAACAAAAGGCAAATTCAGTACTTCCAAGTAACGCAGCTGACTTCGATAGTCTTCCAGCTTCTTGAGTTGATCATCCACTCCTTTCATCTTCCCTTCTATATATTCTTTTCTCCGCTGGAGCAATTCGGTGGTCTGCCGTTCAATCAAAATCATTCATTTTACTCCTTTTGCTGATTTCCACACAAAATAGTCTTTTCCCAACGAACACATAAATTCGTTCGTGTGAATCAATGAACCTTCCATAAACGCCAAAGGACCGACTGGAATCTACCCAGTAAGAGAAAACGATAACAACGCACCATCACTTTTTGACTTAATTTCTCGTGCAACGCATCCACCGTTTTCATCGTAGATTCAACGTTATCTAAAGCTTCCTGCAGATCATGTTGATGGAGAACCAGTCGCTCCTTTTTCTATCACCATTATTATTGGCACTCCTCTCAATACCTCGTCTATCAACGTATAACCGCTCTGCACAGAATTCATTTGCTACAACAAACAACCCTTATTGACCTCGACCACGACCATTTCCTCTTCCCGTTCCTCTTCCCGTTCCTCTTCCAGTTCCGCGTCCCGTTCCTCTCTTTCCTCCTCTAGCACCTCCTCGTCCACTCGAGTATGGCTTCTTTGATCGGACGACGGCTCTGTTGTACTCTACACAAATAACCATACCGCTCCATCCCTACTTGAATTCTGTTCTTCTGCTGGTACATTGTTGATGACCTACACGTCAAGCAACCACTCAAATGCAACATCCTTCGACAACCGGATGCACTTGACTGTAGCTCCACGGATATAACACTCCGAAAGGTGGAAAAATCGAGATCCGGTCTATATCCTCATTTCACTCACAGTTTTGCAACCTTTGTTGTGAGAATCGCATCATTTAGAACAAGGTTCATGTAAGAGTCGCAACTCACCAGTTTTCCGTTATATGTTTCTCCATTTGTCAATTCAACTAACTACAAGTCATCTGCACATTCATTCCAGCACAATTTCATTGTCTCTCGCTGCTCTCAGTAATGAAAGAGGTAACTAGAAATTCAAGACGACCTTCAACCTGCATACCATACTGCGTGTAAATTCAGCAAATTCCCAGTCTCAAATAAGAATGATTGCAAACTTCGACTCAACAAAAATCCCCTATTTCTGCCATTCCATTTTTCCAACAAACATTCAAATTAAAAGCCAAAGTATGTAGAGGGAACATTAAAATCAACGAAATCACAGACACCACAGCAACTACAGCGTATCGCAGCTATTCTTAGCAGCCAACTCCACACTTACCTGGAACTGATGAATTACGAAAAGCAACAGACACACCAGCGTATACGCGAAATGAGCAATAATCAGCTTCCGATGCTCCACTTGCTTCTGATACACGCACAGCTACATCACAGCCATTCCCCATCTCTACGAACGGAACCTGACTCCATCGATCCTGCGGACTGATTCGCGTTAAATAGCCTCCAGAAATGTACACCGCCCCTTCACTCACCACCGGCGTCCCAAAATTATAACAACGATCGGGGTTATATTCTTCGATATGTCCCTGAATCGTCATTTGCAGGCTTTTCGACGCCCTCACCCAGCATCCCTGGCACTACGAGTATGACTCTCTGTGCGATTGAGGAGTACTTTGACGATGGGAGCGTAGGCCTCCGCATTGAAAAGAACGACTTGGATGGAAAGAACGACCTGAGCCATGACGATGAGAAGGAAGACGGAGAAGAGGTTGCCGAAGGCGAATAGACTTTTTGTCTGAGAAGTTAAAAAATAAATTAAAAAAATGGAAATACGAAATGACAGAGAGTGTAGGCGCTGGTGATGACAACATTACTTCCCATGATGGATAAAACATTGGATCGAAAGCTCTTCGAAGGGTCGAACTCGTTGTCTTTGCGGAATGTGGAGAAAACAACCCTGCACAATAGACTGCCACGCAAATCAGATACACAAAAATAATCCAAAACGATGTGATGAACTCCGACACCGTGTCGTACCGAAAATTCGGACAGATCGTACAGCACATAACATGTACAACAGTAATCAACAGTCGGGCATACCAACGAATAGAATCATTACACTTCCATAACAGAAGTGATACCAACTCTTGCATGGGCTTGTAGATTAAGCAGAGAGCCAAAACACCAAACAGCCGCGTTTCGTGTCTCCAAATCTATGCAATCATTTTAATGCAAGATATTGCATACATTTCCAAAGATAATTATATACTGACCAACAAGAAAAAGTACATTCACAGTTGCGACATGAATTGAGGCCGCCAGTTTGACAACCGGACTCACTTTGATACTGTCATCAGGAAAAGTCTCTTCAAAGAGATGATTATTCACAGACTCTTTCACGGCCGCATTCGATTTCCGGAGCGTCATCTGTGACGTATCCCGGTTTTTAAATCGAAAACGTTGCTGGCTCATAAGTATTTGAGAGAAGCAATGTTAGTCTTATTTTGGTATTTTCCCGCCTTATTCTTGCTTCTTTTATACTGTCTGGCTCTCGTTTCCCTTCACTTTCTGCTGCGTACATTCTGCAATATTCGAATCGTTTCTAAACAGCTGATTGTCAGTTCATGTTGCTTTATCGCTTTGTTTGGCTGTATGTATTTAGCTACACTGCGTGGAAAGGTACGCTCGGAATTTGGAGCTGACTCATAGTAATTTCAAATATCACACACCTCCGTTCTACATTTTCTGATTTCTGGTCGGTCAACAATGAAGGTGCTTTGGATTCGCGTATTTAGACCGTTGGAGCGAATTTAATAGGTAGAGGACAAGCTAAATACAGAACAAGATTCAATATCTTATCTCGTCTCTATTGGAACAGGAGCGAATCGATACGCCTATCTCTATAAGCCTAAGTCGTATTTCTTTTGTTTCCGCTCTAATTCCAAGTTCGGTTCTCGTTTTTGGTGGCTACCGTCGAGACATCTTTGAAAAGGTCCTTTTAAACCTGGACATTCGGAACATTACTGTAACCCATTCAACAGTCTCGTCATGTAGACTATACCATCGAATGAGAATATGCGTCAGCGCGTTTCTCGTACCATCAACCAGCAAAAGGACGATCGCTGGTCCATCTACTTCCTCCAGCGTTCTAGAAGGTTGCATTTGGGTCCATGGGTTTTTTAATCTCTAGGTTCAGCAACTACCGATCGGAGATCCTTCACATCCGCAGGAAAATCGGATTCAGTCCCTTTACGATCGTTTTTGATATCGGAGATTTTTGTGGGTATTTTTGGAATTCCGTAACTCGAAGCCTCTGAGTATTTGAAGACCGTATTGCAGCTGTTCTCCGGTTCTTGCAGACAGTATATCGTGCATAACAAGAAAAGAGTGCTGGCGAATAGCCAGACAATCAATCTTGTCATGAATCGAGCAGGCTATCGAAGGGTTACGAGTGTTCGTAATCCCTATTTTGCGACATTTGTAACAGCGTCGTTGCTGAAACGAAGTGCTTAAGAATTCTCTTATTTAATTTTTTTTCTAAAATTAGTTTTTGAAATCAGAGTGTCGGTTTGTTGAAAACATTCTTGGAACTCACTTTGTCGTTTTTGATGAGGCTTTATCAGATTGTTTGGCTTTCGTTGTTTTCTTTAATTAGTATAAAAGGTTTGATTTGACTGTTTCCTTGAGAATGCAGCTGTACAAAGCCTTACCGGAATGGGGTCGTTTTGGGGCAATAACTATTATCTAGGACTGGATGAAGACGAAACATCGAGTAAATCAAGCAGCGTTGGCTAAAAACATAGACAACCCCGATATAAAGAATACGTATATACGAAACAAGAATTCCTATCTGGTTCAGATTGGAACCGATAATAAGAAGTATTGTTTTTTGTATGAACCCGATGCGTACGAGAATATAATTTGTTTGAGGGGTAGTACGATCTTCTCGTTTGGAGGGTCGAGAAGAGATATTTTTGAAAGAATGCTTCTCACTTTAAAGGTCAGCAAGTTGTTTGTATGCTATTCTCGGCAAATACTGTGACAATTGTAGACGATCGTTTCATCGGAAGCCATGAGAAGCAAGATTCAAATGATTATTGACGCCAGGAACCAATCTGACAAATGGAGCGTAATGCTGTCCAACAAGAGGTACTTTTTGTGCATTTGGTTCATCCCCAAGAGTGAGTAACTACAATGCCGAACTGCGAAAGCTGGACGCGAAGATTCGCAGTCAGTACTCCCCTGCTTATGCGCGTCCATCGACGATTCTGTTTGATTTGGGAGATTTTTGTATTTTTGAATCTGCTCTCTGACGGGATAGCTGCCGAAGCTTTACGTTTGATCCTCAAAAAGTATTCTCGTAGCTGTGTACAATATGTTCTTTTCAACGGCAAGCACCCAATGACCAATATTAAGAGTCTATCCGTCATGATGCAGCACGCAGGATATCGCCGTGTAACGCGTGTCCGCACCCAGCGCATCGCAACCTTCATTTCTGCCAAATCCCCTTTATGGAATGCGTCCCCTGTTTTCTCCAACAAACCCATCAAAACGACATTATGATTATCAAGAACCACTAAACACTTTACTTGCCCGATCCTTTTCCCTTGAAATTTCCCTTCGTATTTCCCTTGAAATTTCCCTTGGCATTTCCCTTGGCATTTCCCTTTCCATTCTCCTTCGCCTTCTCCTTCGCCTTCTCCTTGCCCTTCTCGGCCATGCGTTTAGACTCGAGCTGCTTGGCCTTCCGCATCGTCTTTTCCTTCTTCTTCTTGTCCCTCTGCCGACTCACCTCATCCAGCATCTCCTTGTACTGCTTCGCCAGCGCGGCCTCCTTCGCCTCGTCCTCCATCGCCTTCTCCTTCTCCACCTTCTCCAGCTTCTTCTCCTGCGCCCTCTGCTCCTCCAGCACCTTCTGCTCCTCCTTCGAGAACCTGCTGAACAAGAACTCGCCCTGGAACAGCCCGTTCTCCACCGCCTTCAGCACGATCCGCATCCGCGGACCCAGCTCCACCAGCCGCACCGACTGCTTCGTCCCCGCCCCCGCCGTGCTCCCGGTCGACGTCAGCGACGCGCCCGACAGCAGCGAATCGTCGTCGAACGCGTCGTCTTCGCGCAGGTTCGTGAGGTATCTACGTCAAAACCCGATCCAAAAGAAACTCTGAAATGTCGTGCAGCCCGCTGAGGTTCGGGACGCGCCGCTTGTTCACGATCGCGTCCACCGCGCGGCTGATGCCCGCCGTGGAGCGAACCACCGAGTAGTGGCGGAGGAGAATGCTCTGCGTCGCCTACGTCGAATTCGAATCGAAGGGCTACGGAATCGTATTGGAGGAGCAGCACGCGGCGGCAATGGTCGATGTGGATTTTTTCGGGGTTCATCGCGGGGAACATGTTTTGGAAGGTCTTAACCACCAGCTCCAGAGGCTTGTCGTTGGTGGGGAAATTGTTGAAGACGAGCACAGGAGGGTGGAGGAACGGAGAGGTTGTGTCCACTCCCTTCTTGTGGAGCTTTAGAATGTCGTGCATGAGCGTGTACTCCTCGATCTAGATAGAGAGCAGGAAAAAGCGAAAACTTGGAAGTGCAGAGTAGGACCCTGAGGGAAGCACGCAAGGCGCATGGTCGGCTTGTTCTTTCCCTTGCTCACGAGGATAATGTGAGTGACGCCAAAAGGACCGGCGATATTCACAAAATCACGAATACTGTTGGATCTAGAGGTCAGACAACTCCCATATTCCCACTTATTCTCCGTCAAGTGAATAGCGGTGTTCGGGGACATAATCATTCGAATATTCTTCACCAGAGCCGCTACGAAGGGTCCCACAGCACCTTTGCGAGCGACAATGGACTGCGGAACCTTCTCCTTGGTCTCGGGTTCCTGTTTCTTGGTACGAGCTTTCTTCTAGTGCATTACTCCCTCTCAGAATCACAACGACTCTTCTCCCGTTCTTGTAGACCATTTCAGAAATGAGAAAATGACCCAAACGAAAAGCCCTTGATCATCATAAAACTACTTTCCAAACAAACAAAATAGAACGAAAGTGTATTGAAATCAACAGAAATCATTAAATCAATTAAATCAATTAAATCAAATCGAGTCACTTATGTAATTACAGAGGGAGCCGTTCTTCCAGTCATCGCCTCCATCTGCGACAATTCCAAGGCAGCCGCCAGCACCTTCTCCATCACATCCTACCCATCATCCTCATCCCCTTCTTCGCCTACAGCCGTCCGCAGCATCAACCGATCCTTCTCCGTCTCGTACTTCTCCATATACATTCGAATGGTGGCGCCCGAGGATCCAGTGCCCGACAATCGGAAGATAATGCGCGCTCCGTCCTTCGTGTAAATCCGAATTCCCTGATGCGATGAGACCGATCCGTCCACGGGGTCATGGTACTCGAACTCGTCCATCTTCACGATTTCCACTCCCTTCACCACCACTACGTCTCATTCCTCCCTCTCGTTTCTACTCGTTTTTCCCTCCATTTCCGCGATCTTCGCGCGCAATCCGTCCATCAGCGCGTCGGCCTGCGCGGTCTCCACGCCCTCGTAGTCGTACCGCGTGTAATAATGCCGTCCGAACTCGTTCCAGTAGTCGCGAGCGATCGCCTCCACGCCCTCGAGCGGCTTCTCCGGATCCTCATTGCGCTCTACGCCTCAGAGTTCCCGCCCTTCCGCACGTGCCACGATCGACAGCCAGCACAGAATGGCGAAGATGCCGTCCTTCTCGCGGATGTAGTCGGCGCCCAGCCCGAAGCTCTCCTCGCCGCAGATGAACGGGTGGTTGTCCTGCTTCCCCAGCGCCTTGCTGTCCATCAGATTGCCGAAGAACTTCCAGCCCGTCGGCACCTCGAACCCGCGGATCCCGCGTCGCTCGCACACCACATCGATCGCAGAGGACGTCGGCATCGACCGCGCGCACGCCGTCAGCCCGTTCTGAAAGTACGGGATGCACCGGCAGTACGCCGCCACCATCGCCAGCGAGTCCGACGGCGAAATGAAGAACTGCCGGCCCAGGATCATCGCGCGGTCCGCGTCTCCGTCTACCTCCCACCATCCCCGCGGGACCTACCCGTCGCACACCCGAAGTCCGGGATCTTCGCAGCCTCCTCGGCGGATTTGAGGAGCGGCTGGCCGGTGCGGTCCAGTCCCATCGCCTCGACCAATTCCCGCGCGTAGGTGAGATTCGGGTCGGGATGGCAGCCGCCGAAGTCCTAGGAATTACCGCGGGGGAGCGAGAGGACGGGTTTGGGGACGCAGTTGTGGAGGGAGTCGAGCGGCGCGCCGAGCAAATCGTGGAAAATGGGGCCGGCGTAGGCGCCCGAGACGCCGTTGATGGCGTCGAAGTGGAAGTGGAAGTCGGGACGACGGAAGAGCGCGGCGATGCGAGGGAAGTCGAAGACGCTCTGCAGAATCCGGATGTAGTCCTCCGTGGAGGAGATGATCTCCACGATGAAGGGGTGCTCGGCCACGGTGTAGGTCAGCGTGGCGATCTCGTCGATGGGGACTTCGGGAAGCTCCGCCATCTTCAGTTCGCTGATCTTCAGCGACTCCGTGTAGATGCCGTTGGTGATGTGCTCGGCAGCGGCGGCTCCGTTCTCGCCGTTAAATCTGGAATGAAAGGAAAAGGAACAGAATGTACTTCACACCGAAATCGGCGTTCAGACCACCTGGATTGTGGCTGGCAGTGAGGATGAAGCCTCCGTAGGCAATACCGTTCTCACGGGTTCTAGAAGTGAGAAAATGCCCTCAGTAACCTACCGAATCACGGCAGAAATAGAAGGAGTCGACATGATTCCTATAGAGTGGGAGATCCTTTCCAAATCCTACCATGCTGAGCAACCCACACACGGCCCACACCATTGCCCGCAGCAATCTTCAAGATTACCTGAATGGCCTCACGGGAGTAATATCTGTTATGTCAAAAAAGCACACCGGGCATACCTTCCATCTCCTCCAACGACTAAAGTACAACCTTGGACGCGATCCTTGGGAAGGGAATTAAAGGTAGACTGGAAATGAGGCCAGATCCCGAAGGGATACCTGGATAAAGTTGTGAAGATAGTGTCCCTCCATAAAGATGGGAGTTTTCTTACGAAGACCACTGGTACCAGGTTTTTGGTCCTTGTAAGGAGTTGTAGCAACGGTCTTAATGGCAATAGAGCTCATACGAATAAAAGCAATAAATTAATATGAAGAGGCAGCTGAATGAAACTCCTTGATGGGGTTCAGAAACTGCCATTTCACATTGAAAAGGGGGACATATCTTATTCTATACTGTGAATCATATATATATTTATATATATACATACATATATATATATATATATTTATTTGGAGCAAGAGAAATAATCCCCCACTGATTTTTGTGCTTCTGTTTATGAATTCGTTGTTCTCTGGTTTCTATTTGGAGAAAAAAAGAATACTAATTGAAACATAGTACCAAATCACACTCTTTCCTCAAACTCACACAAATAGAATATCTCTTTCCTGTCCATTCCACCTCCTCTATAACTCCTTATTTCAAACAAACAATGCGCGGTAAGCATACCCATCAATCTAGATTATTGTTCCTCAACCTTGCAGATCTTTTCAAATACATCGCTCAGTGAGGATTCATTAATCGACCAATATGTGATAATATTCGATCTCTGCATATCCATGATGGTTATCAATAACTTGGACAAGTCTACACGATCCTTCATGATTGTGAACGAATAGATGTTTGCTTTCGTTTCCAAAAACTCCACATCTGGGCAAATCTTAAACTTCACATATTCCACCACGTTCGTGATTTCTGGAGCGAGCGAGAGCAGAAGCAAGAATCCCTTTCCAAACTTATTCTTCAGCTCCACTTGATCTCCAATGCACTGCAATCCCTGGCTCGTCATGATTGCAATCCGCGTGCACAGAGCATCCGCTTCCTCCATCGAATGCGTCGTAATCAGAATCGACATTTCCTTCTGAACCCGCTTCACAATATCCCAAATCGCAAAGCGCGTTTCGGGGTCCAAGCCTGTCTACAAGTCATTCCAAAACTCACATTCCCAACCGTCGGTTCATCCAAGAAGAGAAGGCGAGGCTGACTCATTAGAGCCATTCCCAAAGTCAATCGACGCTTCTGTCCGCCACTCATCACCGAGGCTTTCCGCTTAAAAGCATCGTGTGAGAGACCCACAACCTCCGCTTTTTCCTTGCAGAACCCTTCGATGAGATTTCGACTTGTGTGATGAAGTCTGGCCACAAGAGTCAAATGCTCCTCCACGGTCATATCATCGAAGAACGTGTCGAACTGAGGAACCACTGCGATCAATTCGCGAAGACGTTTCACATCGGCTCCATCGTATCCAAAGATCTTCATTTGACCCATGTTTGGATTCAGATTGCCGGTCATGATATTGATCAATGTGGTCTTTCCAGCTCCATTCGGTCCCAACAAACCAAACACATCGTTATCACGAATCGCAAAGCTGATCTCTGGGAATACGCGCTTACCACTTCTACGACATTCATTTTCCTCTCTCCACAACGTACTTGCCGAAGAAATACTTGGAAACTCGACTGACAATCAGACTGAGGTTTTTACGATCATCCGGAGTTTGGACGTTGATAAGCGAGTCAGTCAGTTCTCTCTCCTGCTTTACACTCTCATCGCTGATCTCCGTCTTTGAGTCTGGTTCCTTCTTTATCGATGAGCCTCGTTTCTTCTGATAGTACTATTCATGATCCCTTTTCCTCATTCTATTCCTACGCGATCGAGAGTGATCGATAAATCTTGCGAGAGCCACATGACTAAATACGACAAGACGATGAACAGAATCGTCGAGATCAAGGAGTAAATGAATGCTTCGTTACAGAGCATACGACGCTGCAAGGAAGGGCTGACAATGTATTGAGTGACAATCATCATGAAGGATCCAGGCAGCATCGCAAAGAATAAGCTCGTATTACCATCAGAGTTGAATAGCAAAGCGCCAATAGCATTGATAAAAATGTTCACAGTCGTTGCAAGCGAACTACAACATGGAGAGAATCGAAGAGATGTACGGTGATGTGAAGCAACAACTAATTAAAATGAAAAACGACGAGCAATGAATGCAACTCCACAGAAGATACCAGATCGCCGTACCTGTGATTCTGAGAGAGTATTTCTTGAAGGACACAAAGAAGAGAATGTATCTAGATTCATATAGAACGAGAAGAAAAACATGGTCATGAAAATGAGTAAGAATAACGTGTAGAAAATTAGAAGACTAGTAACATAGTGATAAGATCGAACACCATTGATATAAAGAATCGAAAGGCAATTGTTGGCACGATCCTTCACAATTCGATAGATAACGAAAAGCGAGAGAACAATAAAGAAAGCGGGAATAAATACCTTTATCGTAATTTGAATAAAACTATTCAAAGGAACTATCCACACTTTGTTTGTAAGGTATGTGAGCCTAGGATCTACAGTTTATTTCATTCAAAGAATTCAAACAATAAACAACGGTTTTATTTGTTTTGGAATACAAATGGGACAAACTAAGAATCGTAATCATCGGATTGATGTAATTTTTTTCGCCATATAATGAGTTCACATAGGAATGCCAATTCGATTCATTGTAAACAACGGAGGTGTAAGTGGACTCCTTTGGATACATGCCTAAAACCCCCTTATATATGTTATTGTCTGCGTCCGACAGTTCGAGAGTAAATTGAGGAATCGATTCGATTAGGAAGTTGTAAGCGTCGTAATACGTCGCATTTTTCAACCAATAATAGTCGCGGTAGGATGACTCCTTGGCTAAGTCGCGCAGGTGTTCCTACATCATAAGATGCTATCTGTCCTGCTCTACTTGTCGTTGGATAATCTCCTTCTGGATATTATCAGATTTCTGAATCAAAAATCGTTCTTTCGATTCAAAATCATAGATATTCCAAACCCAAGAAAGCGAATCCGCCTTGAGAGACGATTTGCCTAAAAAATGATCATACCTCTAAACAATTCATACTATCATCTACTAACAGAGAGAAATTTTGGAAAGACTGTCCAAAACCTTCAAAGTCGAAGTATCCATCTACGCATTACAAGTAAACACGTAAAAAAAACCATAGTTAACAAATGATGAATCGCCATCTATATTCCAAGTAGGAGGATTGGTATTGTTAATACAGTTCCATGAGTAGGCAAAGCTGCCATCATCGCATGGAGGCATAGCAAACATTCCTAAGGCGGAACTGTAGAGTATGACAATTCCGAGCCAAACAACCATACCAACGATAGGAATGGCCAATCGCGCACCGTCCTTCTTCATTAGAGTGAAGTGAAGCCAGTTCAGAGAGTAAATAAACTCAAAAAAGGTAGTGGGTCGATCGAGCATCACATCCAAGGCGTATTGAGACGGTTTCTTCTTTGTCGGAGCATCTGGCAAAAGCGGTTTGATCACTTGGCTCGCGCTGCCATCCGACATCACAGATAGCTGGATATCGGTAGCCGCACTGGGTGAAGATTGATCCGCAGGCAGGTTTGGAAGGGGTGCATCGCTTGGCTCAGGAGGCGGCGAAAGAGAAGCAGCTTTCGCAACTTCGGCGGGTTCTGCTGGTGCCTTGTCTTCAGTTTCCGATTCAGAATCGGAATCAGAGAAGCACTTCTTGCAATAAAGATTATCAACCACAATGGCTCTTCCCTTCTTGGTATAGACCGTAACTACACTTCAACCCTCCACTCCAATTTCATACCTCGCTCTGCCGGATTCATATGGCAAATCTCACAAAGCTTCACTTGCGCTCGCTTTTCTCGCTGCTCCTCTAGCTTGTTGATGTTATCCGCGTTCTCCACTTGCGTGTTCGACTCGACCACTTTAATAAACACTTCGTCCATAGTTGAAGGAGAGATCAGCCACTCCTTTGTGCAAGAGCAGGAGTTGATATCCTTGAGGAATCGAGGCATGAATCTGTATATAGAATCGGTTCCCTCATACCTACTTCAAATCGTCCTTGTCAATTCCGATACTCAACTTTGTGAGCGTGTACGAAATAACGTTGCTGTTCACCAGATAGCTCTACACACTGATACATTGCATGCGAACACGAACACGCATCAGCGCGAAGATTTCGTTCGCGTTGGTTCCCTCGTTCAGCAAAATATCGATCTTGTATCCCTTTCCGTAGTGCTTCTTCATTCCATTCGGCGTTCCAATAGCTCGCAGACGACCCTTGAACATGATGCCGACGGTATCCGAAAGCACATCGGCTTCTTCCATCGAATGGGTGGTCAGCAAAATGGTATGGTCCTTCTTCAAATCGGTCAAGACATTCCACAGCTCCGAGCGCGATATCGGATCCATTCCGCTCGTAGGCTCATCCAAAATCAGAATGTCGAATCCCTTGATGCAAGCCAGCGCGATCGTCATTTTTCGCTTCATGCCTCCAGAGAACGTGCTTACTAGACCTAACGAAATGATTCGGGGACGTACTTGGCTTGTTCTCGGCCGCGGAGAGCTTAAACAGCTGCAGCAAGCGCCTCTTCTCGCTCTCGATATCTTCATTCGAAAGTCCCAAAATCCGTCCAATAACGTTGAACATATCTGCAGGCGTAAATCCATCCCAGAAGTGGTCGTCCTGTCTGCAAACGCCAAAACGATCCCGGATCATTTCTCGATTCTTCTGCAAATTCTGTCCGCACAGATAGATCTCTCCGTATGTGGGAGGATACACACCGGTAAGCATGGAGATCGACGTGGTCTTTCCACATCCATTCTAGATGAAATCCGATCAACAAAAAAACCGGTCCCAGCAAGGTGAAGATCTGATGCGGAGTGATTTCCATGTGCAGCTCGCTCACCGCGGTACAATTGGGGAAGGTCTTGGTTGTGTACGAGAAAATGATACTGTTGTGCTCACGACTGTTTATTTCGTCCTTTTCGCTGTCGTATCTTGGCTCGTCCGCACCACGCTCTCTACCACTTAAAAAATCCTGCAGGAAAAGGACTTGGACTTGTTGATCGACTTCCAGAAGTCCATCTTGGTGTAGAAGCAGCACGACATGTTGAATCCATTTCGATAAGACGAGTACCAGAAATAGAAGAATAACAAGCAGTAACAGCAAATAATATTAATAGCAATAACCCCTCTAGACATAAAGAAACGAGAACATACGGACAGATAGGGGGACATATCGGAAGACTCTGCAGAACTCCAATCCAATGGCATCCTATTGTAAAAATAACTCAGGAAGGAAAATGGATCGGCCAGCGTGATGAAAAACAGAATGTTCAAGAACTCGAATGCACTCCTGATGTTGCACAGCCAGAAAGAGAGAAAGAAAAACAGAACAAGAAACACGACATAGACCCACTGTCGAATAACGAAAGTGCTGTGAATCAACAAGAATCAAAAGCCAAACGATAGGTAGAGTCCTGCATAGCTCATTCCAACCAAGTAGAACATATAGACTAATGTCGATACCTATATTCGTAAGCCGCATCAAACCATCGAAGAATACAATGAATGGAGGAATTGTGAAGTATGTGATGCCGCAGAGCCTTCCAGTAAGTATGTACAGGATCGAGGCAACAAGCGAGAGAACATAGAAATAGGCGGTTTGGCTGTGGAAAAAGACAGATTCCTAAAAAAAGAAACGAATGAGAGAGTCGCTTACATAAATGCCGATTCCACGCAGATAATCCAGTTGCTTTCCTCTCTTTTCCTTCAAGGCATATGTAGAATGAAAAAAGAGAAACACAAAGCCAATGCAAAGATTCAGCACCAGAAAAATGTTGAGCGATCTATTTTGTGAACAGAAGCAAAGAACAAATTACAGCGTAGAAGCGCTAAGAGCAGGATTCTCTTGCAAAGAAAGTTCGATTACAGGAATAGAAGAATCCGAGTACCTATTGATAGCATTTTCCACAGCTAGTTGGATTTTCGAAAAGAGATACTGTTCTCCAGGTTGCACATTGGAGACAGCAGTTCCAAAGTAGTAACTCTGGTACGTGAGATTGGACCAAACGTGGTATTCCAATGCGCCCATCTTCTCAACAAAATACACACCTCCAGTAACAAACGGAACATCAGAATCATAAGGTGGATAGATTCTAGCGACATACTCCGTCTTATTATCTTCAAATAAGCGCAGTGTTCCAAATACATACTCACTCCAACAATATCTTCTCCAAATGTTAATCCGTTTAGTTCAGCAAGAGTTTTCATAATAGCGTCGATCTTCTCCGATTTGGGTCCATAGAGAAGAGTAAGGCATTTCTCCCTATCATACACCGGGGTGTATTCACTTCCATAGCTACATTCAACATAGGATTTGGACACTACCTGTCGAGTGGAACACACCGGCCCAGCTTCTCTATAGAAATAGGTGTGGTACTCTTACTCGATTGAGATTTTGACATTGTGCTGTATACAGCAATCACAATCGCTGAGAGTAATGTTTCAATTCATAGAGTACCTGGCAAAAGCACCACAAAGAGATTGGCGAACCAACGTTTCCTCATTTGGATGAAGCTCTTTCGAGTTAATCCTCGAAGCTGATTCCAAAACCGCGTGAAATACATTATTATATTATGAATGACAATTTGAATACAGCTTCACAAAATCGCGGTTTTTTCAATTGTGGCGAAAGTTCAGTGTGAAGTAACTGATGGTGGCAACCATGGAATTACTAATTGCCCCTTAGAACCATACCAATAGAATTGATTGGAATGAACCAGAAGGGTTCCTGTTATTGGAGGAATCGGGTTTTGAAAAAGTGTGAACATTTACACCATAAAAGATGGTACTAGCAATAGAACACATACGATAACGGCACATTTTGAGAAAAGCAACCACTCAATGCATACATTATACTTCACTACGTTTAGGAGAAATCCGACACCATCAAGGATTAAGAATCTTTCCACAGTATGTAATACTGTATTATTTTCCGAAAGTCTATTCGCAGTGGTTCATTACAATGGTAAATTCAATGACCTTGAAAGTGATCCTATTTCCATGCTAAATAATGTATCAAATGGTAAAAAGGGAGAAACGATCCAAAATGGATTTAAAAATCAAGTTTGTTTGCGTAAAGCAATCTAGTTTCACGGTATAGTATTCGCTGCTGCTGAAATGGGTAAATTACAGAAACCGCCATCTCAACGTCAACCACAAAGGCCGTACTCCATTTCCCTTTATTTGTGGTCATAGTAGAGAGGCACTTTTAAAGAGGTTTTTATGTTCCCTTGAAAAGCCAATGATTCAGAATCGTAGAAACGTGGAAAATGTTTCCACACAATCCAATCCTCAAAAACTATCTATAATCTCAAATGCTTGCTGTGGCTCTTAAGCAGTCATTTAGACAGTCAGCTATGCTGGCTGGTTCTTTGAATGGAAGTGTTGCTAAGTCTACTTTTACTCGCCTCTTTTCCGAGTATAAGAAGGTCCGTGCGGCTATCGATGGAAACGAAGCTGCGGCGTCTTCTGCTTACAATGTGAGCGATGCTGCAATTTTGTATCCCATTTCTCCCTCTTCCCCTATGGGAGAGCATGCCGACGCATGGGCGGTGAAGGGAAGAAAGAACATTTTTGGAAACGTTCTGAAAGTGACCGAAATGCAGTCTGAAGGAGGTGCCGCCGGAGCCTTGCATGGCGCTCTTGTGGGAGGTCTTCTGGGAACAACGTTCACCTCTTCTCAGGGCATGATGCTGATGATTCCCAACATGTATCGTATTGCTGGAGGACTGCTGCCCGCCGTCATTCACGTGGCTTCTCGTGTGGTTTCTAAGCAGGCTCTGTCGCTGCTGTGTGAGCACTCTGATGTGATGGCTACGAGACAAACTGGATTTGCGATTCTTTCCTCGCACTGTGTCCAGGAGGCACACGATCTCGCGCTGGTGGCCCACCTGTCTGCTATCACCACGAGCCTTCCTTTCCTGCATTTCTTCGATGGCTGGAGAGTTTCTCACGAGGTGAACTCTATTGATACGATTCCGTGCGACGAGGTGGCCAAGATTTATCCCTACGAAGATGCGAACATTTTCCGCAAGCGAGCCTTGAATCCGAATCACCCGTATCAGCGCGGAATTGCTCAGTCTCAGGATATCTACATGCAGAACTGCATCGTGGCTCAGCCGTTCTATGACGCTGCTCCCGAGAAGATTCAGGCGGCGATGGACAAGGTGGCGAGCATCACGGGTCGTCAGTACCATCTGTTCGACTATGCTGGAGCTCCCGACGCGGACCGTGTGATCGTGGTGATGGGTGCTGGAACCACGGTGGAGGAAACGGTGAACTACTTGAACAAGCATGGAGAGAAGGTGGGTGTGGTGAAGGTGCACCTGTTCCGTCCCTTCTCGCAGAAGCACTTGGACGCGGCGATCCCCAAGACGGTGAAGAGTGTGTGCGTGCTGGATCGTTGCCGAGAGGACGGAGCTCCCGGAGAGCCTCTGTACCTGGATGTGGTGGCTTCGATGAACCAGCTGAAGCGTCCGGTGACGATCGTGGGAGGCCAGATGGGTCTGGGAGGCAAGGACTTCACTCCCGCGATGGTGAAGGCGGTGTTCGACAACCTGAAGAAGCCCGAGCCCAAGAACCGCTTCACGGTGGGTGTGAACGACGATCTGTGCCACTCGTCTCTGGAGTACGGCGAGCCGCTGCCGACGCTGCCCGATGATGTGAAGCAGTGCATCTTCTGGGGTTACGGATCGGACGGAACGGTGGGTTCGTCGCACGATGCGGTGAAGCTGATTGTGAAGAACACCGACTTCAACGCGCAGGCGTACTCCGTGTACGATGCGCACAAGTCGGGCGGTCTGACGGTGTCCCACGTGCGTGTGGGCAAGGAGCCGATCCAGTCGGAGTACCTGGTGCAGCAGGCGGACTACGTCGCTTGCCACAACAGCACCTACGTGCGCAAGTTCCACATGGTGAACCAGCTGAAGGAGGGCGGAATCTTCGTTCTGAACTCGCCCTGGAACACGCTGGAGGAGCTGGAGAAGAACCTGCCCAACCATCTGAAGCGCGATCTGGCCAACAAGAAGGCCCAGTTCTACAACATCGATGCTACTGGCGTGGCGCAGAGCGTGGGTCTGAAGCAGCGCATCAACATGATCATGCAGAGCGTGTTCTTCAACCTCTGCCCGATCCTGCCTGAGGGTCGCGCTCCCAAGCTGCTGGAGAAGGACATCGCTGTGCGCTTCGGCTCGAAGGGCCAGCAGGTCGTGGACATGAACCTGAACGCCGTGAAGCAGTCGCTGAGCAACCTGCACAAGATCGAGGTGCCCGCCGCGTGGGCGAACCTGCCTGACGACGCTCCGAAGGTGTGGCCCGCGGGCACTCCGGAGTTCCTGCAGACGCTGTACCCCGCGCTGTACATGGAGGCGGACAAGGTGCCGGTGTCCAAGTTCGTGTCCGGAGGCGTGCAGCCCGCCGGAACCTCCAAGTACGAGAAGCGCGGCATCGCCACGCAGGTGCCCGTGTGGGACCCCTCGAAGTGCACGCAGTGCAACCAGTGCGCGACGCTGTGCACGCACGTGTGCATCCGTCCGTTCCTGATGGACGCGGAGGAGTCGAAGCGCGCTCCCGAGACCTTCAAGATGATCCCCGCCGTGGGCGACGAGCTGAAGGGTCTGAACTACCGCATCCAGGTGTCGCCAATGGACTGCACGTCGTGCGAGGTGTGCTCGGTGAACTGCCCGACGAACGCGCTGACGATGACCAACTTCCGCGATGTGCAGGAGGTGGAGAGCAAGAACTGGGACTTCGCGATGACGGTGAAGAACAAGGGCGACCTGGTGGACAAGACCACGGTGAAGGGCTGCGCCTTCCAGCTGCCCATGCTGGAGTTCCCCGGAGCCTGCGCGGGCTGCGGAGAGACGCAGTCGGTGCGCATTCTGACGCAGCTGTTCGGCAAGCGCCTGATGGTGGCGAACGCGATGGGCTGCTCGCGTGTGTGGGGAGGTACCTTCTGCTCGAACCCGTACACGGTGAACGAGCGCGGCCAGGGTCCCGCCTGGGGCTCCTCGCTGTTCGAGGATAACGCCGAGTTCGGCTTCGGTATGATGACCTCCACGCTGATCAAGCGACGCAACCTGGCGACGCGCGTGCAGCGCATCCTGAAGGACGACTCCATCCCCAAGAGCAAGGAGCTCTGCGCCAACCTGCAGACCTGGCTGGAGAACCCGCGCGATGCGGACAAGTGCGAGGTGTGCTACGACAACTGCGTGGCGCTGCTGGCCAACGAGAAGAAGAACCACAAGGAGCTGGAGCTGCTGGAGGAGGTGATCGACGTGATGCCCAAGCTGACGCAGTGGGTGGTCGGAGGCGACGGCTGGGCCTACGATATCGGCTACGGAGGCGTGGACCACGTGCTCGCCCAGGGCGACGACATCAACGTGCTGGTGCTGGACACGGAGATGTACGCCAACACGGGAGGCCAGCAGTCGAAGGCCACGCAGATGTCCGCGGTGGCGAAGTTCGCCGCGGGCGGCAAGCCGCTGATGAAGAAGGATCTGGGCCGCATGGCGATGCAGTACAAGAACGTGTACGTGGCGTCGATCGCGGTGGCCGCGGACCCGCGCCAGGCCATCAAGGCGATCGTGGAGGCCGAGAGCTACGACGGACCTTCGCTGGTGATCAACTACTCGCCGTGCATGCAGCACGGAATGCCCGCCTCGACGGGAATGTCCTGCATGGCGCAGGAGGCCGAGAAGGCGGTGTCTTCGGGCTACTGGCCGCTGTACCGCTACGATCCGCGCCGCGCGGAGAAGGGCGAGAACCCGTTCCAGCTGGATTTCAAGAAGATTAAGACGGACGTGGGCGACTTCCTGAAGGGAGAAAACCGATTCACGACGCTGGACAAGAGCCTGCCGGATGTGGCGACGTCGCTGCACGCCACGCTGAAGCAGCAGCTGATCGAGAGACACGAGGATAGAGTGCGCATGGCCATGTCGGATAAACAATTGTATAAATATCTCCAGAAGAAGTTCGAGAAGAAGTAAGCTTGCTTATTTTGTGTGTCCGTTTATCGTAATTAATGCGTTGTTTGTTGAAACAAGCAGTTGGTGGATTATTACTATTGTCTTTTTAACAGGTTGGCAAGTGTAGGTGAGACATCTAGAAATGGAACAAGAGAATAGAGGGAATACTGGTAATTGTTTTCCGTTGAACTTTGTGGAAAGGAGGGTAATCGTTATAGTAATATCCTCCTTTTCTATAACGATTGACATGTTGAAGATTTGGAATATCTAAATACTATCAGTATTCAGTATTCAGAACTACTCTCTAATGTCACTGTTCTGGGGGATTGGAAACATCCTTCATAATAATCAATGGACGTTAGATTTGGAAGATCTACAAAGCAAATCATTTCAAATAATCTCAATCATACTTCGCATTATCAATGAAGTTGAATCATCATCATCTCTTCCAGCAAGTGCACAATCACCGAGTTGAATGGATTGTAATGATGGAAGATCTACATCAATCATTTCATTCGAATTCATTCAATACTTTCAATTATTGTTGATAGGGAATCTGAGAATGCCTCATCACCTAATGTAATGAATTGTAGATTTGGAAGATCTATGCATCATTCAAATATTCAATATCATATCAATACCTCGAATCACAAACGAATTATGATAGAAACTGTGTGAGACGTAATAATAACTTCTATTGGAATTGCTGTTACTCAAATATGAATAGCTATAGGAATTTGATTGGTAATATGAACCAATAATAATACTTTTCAACAAAGGTAAATTCTTCAATTCAAAGTCTCCTCCAAAATCACTGAAACTGCATTCACCAATTTGAATGGATTCCAATGATTCACAATTCAATATGTGGAATGACTTCGATTCATCATCTCCATTACTATTCTTTTTCTGCGTAAATGAATTCTTGCCGATTTTGATAGTTTTCAATCGATTCAATCTATCGATTTGGAATGTTTTCACTGATTCAAAACATCCATCGCCGATTTCGATTGATTCCAGAGAAATCAAATTGGATAGATTCATCAATTCTGTATTGTCAAAAGAGTTATTCTCTATTTTTAAACTCTTTAATCTGCTCAATCCATTCAATTCAAATAGTTTCAAAGATTTAAAGCATTCATCGCCGATTTCGATTGATTCCAGAGAAATCAAATTGGATAGATTCATCAATTGGGAATTACCGAATGCAGCATCACCTAGTTTAATGGATTGTAGATTTGGAAGATCTAATCATTACACATGCACCATAATATCAATACCTCGAATTAGTATTGAACAAGAATAGAAGTTATACCAATACTTTTCACTGCTGTACATGTGATTAGAAACGCTGTTAATATTCCCAATTTGAATGGATTGTAATTGTGGTAGATTCTTCAACTCAAAGTCTCCTCCAAAATCACTGAAACTGTATTGTCCAATTTCAATAGATTCCAATGATTCACAATTCAATATGTGGAATGATTTCGATTCATCATTTCCAACATTATCATTTCTATCTGTAAATGAATTGCTTCCGATTTTGATAGTTTTTAATCGATTCAATCTATCGATTTGGAATGTTTGTACTGATCCAAAACATTCATCGCCGATTTCGATTGATTCCAGAGAAATCAAATTGGATAGATTCATCAATTGGGAATTACCGAATGCAGCTCCACCTAGTTTAATGGATTGTAGATTTGGAAGATCTAATCATTACACATGCACCATAATATCAATACCTCGAATTAGAATTGAACAAGAATAGAAGTTATACCAATACTTTTCACTGCTGTACATGTGATTAGAAACGCTGTTAATATTCCCAATTTGAATGGATTGTAATTGTGGTAGATTCTTTAACTCAAAAACTCCTCCAAAATCACTGAAACTGTATTGTCCAATTTCAATAGATTCCAATGATTCACAATTCAATATGTGGAATGATTTCGATTCATCATCTCCATTACTATTCTTTACCTGCGTAAATGAATTCTTGCCGATTTTGATAGTTTTCAATCGATTCAATCCCTTCAATTCAAATGATTTCACTGATCCTAAACATCCATCGCCGATTTCGATTGATCGCAGCCAGTTAAATTGATTCAAATGAAGTTTATTAAACTCATTACAAGAATTGGAACTTATCACCAAGTCATTCACCTTATTATCAATGACTATCAATTCTTCATTCTTACTAATTGTAATATTGTCGCCTATTACATCATCTGTTTCATTCTTCATCTCTTCCGGTTTCTTATTCCTCAATACGCTTCGAATACTTTCATGCAATCCTTTCATATACCATCCTTCATACAAATCGGTTCCCTTCATCTCTTTTCCATAGTTCCATTCACTTTCACGAATAGCTGTTCCATTGTTTTCATCAATCAAATATCCGAGTCCATGTCTTAAAAATGTTCCTCGCATCTCACAATATCCTCCAATATATACAGGAATTCGATTCCATATCTCCAAATTATCATTCACTACATATTCGATCATTTGGTTACTATCTGCATCAAACTCACGAATGACTTGGACCAATTTGTCCTTTTGCCAATATCCCTCAAGCTTTTCTTTGCCACTTTCCATATCATATTCAATTCCATGTCCATGGCGATTCATTTCCTTATCAAATCCGCCTCGATAAATCACTATTTCAGCATTCACGTTACTTTCTGCATCATTTCTCACTTCGTACTCTTTATAACTCATTCCAAGCTTCACTGTACATCGAATTGTCATTATCAACCCTTCTTTCGTATTCTCGATCATTCTTCGATTTCCATCTTCTCCAAATATCGAATTCCAGTTTTCTTTGTGCAATACTTTACCATCCCAGTATTCAGTTATTTCTCCCTCTCGTTTTCCATTTTTCATTGTCCACGCTAAATATAAAATGCCATGCTTGAATAATTGGCAACGACCTTCTATCTTTCCATCTCTTAGTTCGCTCAATAAATACTCGTTTGAGTGTTTCCCTTGGTATGTTTGGATTTCATATTCTACTCCACCAATTTTGGCTCTCATTCGTTTACCACTCACATAATCACTCAGCAAATACCTTGATTCCTTTGCATGATGCATAATATCTAATTATCAGGACCATCCTCAAATTACAAACCGTTGTGTACCACTACCATTTTCAATTATTGAATAGAATAGATAGTTATTACCAAAAAATGATATTATAATATATCTAAATGTTATGTGTCAAATGAACATAAGATATTCCAGAATTTCTCACTATTTTTATTATAATTTATCCATATCTTTTTCCTCTCAATATCCTTCCTATATTCCATTTCTTCTATTTTTCAAACAAACAAACAACTGCATTCCCTTTTCCAACACGGACGCAATATAAAACATTCCAATCAACACAAGAAACATAAAAGCGATCAGAATAATTACATTTCTATCATCACTGCTGTCTACACTCTAAATTACCATGTTACATCGCGTACCCCATTCCTTTTCAACGACTTGTTCCTTCGTTGTTCCTTCGGCTGCTTCAGTTGCTTTGGTTGTCTCTGCATCTTCCACCATTTCGCGAAGCCCTTTCACCACATCTTCCGGCATGGATTCAACAACTATGATTATCACACACAATATTTAAAAAAATAACCTACACGACTGCACACGATCTTTGTCCTTGATAGAAATCGGTTTAAGGCCAAATTTGATTCCTGCTAATGCAAAATGAAGCAAAGCGTTCACAATTTGCTTCTTCTATTCGAGTGATAACCACATTTATGAATCCTACATCCCCACGATCAAACATTGAAACACTCACACAATCGTTTGCATCGATCCCCATGCTCTGGCAACACTTTGCAAAGATTGTCAGATTATCTCGCGCATAAAACGAATTCTTATCTAGTACAAATAGCAGCGCTACGACTCAGCTACCTTCGCTTTCATGATATTTGCCAATTTCGACGGAAGGAAGACAATGTTTCACCACTTCACACAAAGCCTACTTTTATTACTTCGAATCCACATCACTACCACACCACTCTTCAGCGATTCTGCCAAATTCGAATCAATCTCCTTCCCCAAGAGTTGAGACAACCAAGCTGCAATCTCAACGGAAAGATACTACAACGTAATGAGCTCGCAATGGAGTGACATCGTATTCTTCCTCAATAAACTTTATCCGATCTTCCGAGATGGAACGCCCCTTCCGAGGTTCACTCTTCAGGAGACGTCCCGAAGACATAGCAGGCGCGGTAGAAGATACTTCCATAGTCCGAACACGTTTTTGTAAAAGTAACGGTAATCAAAGAAACTCCCTAACAGGATTCAACAAACAGTCCAAGAAAAAACATTACATTTTCCATAGAATCAGAATCCCTGCCGACCCGAGCAAAACACCCGAGCCCTTCCCTTGCATCCCCATTACGCCTCAAATTGGCTCGTTCCAAACAGAATCTTCAATTTCTTCCCCACAGGCATCGTCTCGCGCGACACCACCATCTGATACGGCGGGAACGCATACGAAAACTGCGCTCCGCGCGCCGCGGTTCCCTCCATTCCCTCGCCCTCCCTCGCTTTTCCCGCTTTCCCCGCGTTTTTCGCCAGCCCCAGCAGCGCGTCATAATACACGTTGGCCGCAATCGCGACCCTCTGCGCCGTGTACTTCACCGCGCGCAGCGCGACCTCCTGGGCACTGCCCAGCGGGAAAAACTTGGCGCGGAACCAGCAGGAGCCGTAGTTGGGATCGACGTAGACGCAGCGCGTCAAAATCGGCTGATAATCGCGGGCTATGAGCAGAGCGGAGAGGAAGCAGGGGTTGTTGCTCTGGCCGAAGGCGAGCAGCTCGTCGGAGAGGATCATGGAGAGCCGGATCGCCTAGATAGAATCGTGGAAACGGAGAAACCTCGATGAAGGAGTCACCGTATTGCGGAGTGAAGTGGACGGCGAACATGAGGCAGCGCTGCGCGTTGCGCGGGCTGAAATGCCGGGAGGTGGGGTTGAGGAAGACGCGCGCGCCCTCGCACCAGACCTCGCCGGAGCGCGCCACGAACTTGAGCGCCGCGTAGAACTGCCGGAGCGCCGCGGAGGGGCCGAACAATCTGCGTGAGTGAGAGAGAGAGAAAGAAAGAAAATACTGGTGAGCGATTTGGATGAAGGAGGACCACAAACGACCCGCGGTGGGATCGCGGCGCAGCGAGTCGATGCATAAATGGTACGCGTCCAGCGCGCGGTTCTCGCGGAAGAGCTGGTTCACTCGCTCCAAAACCAGCTTCCACTCGTCGGGGAAGCGCCGCATGTTCCACTGGATCACGCGGCTCGCTTCGCCCTGCCGCCCAATGAAGTCCAGAATGCGCGACAGCTCCAGAGACACCGCGTGGACGCTCTGCGACGGCGCGAACTCCGTGCTCCGCATCAAACACTGCTTGGTAGCTCCTCCGAACGCCTACTCGGATCGCGGACCGACGATTCCCCGCCAGCGCCTGCACGCGGCCCGCCAAAATCCACACCTTCCACTTGTGGTCGTCCTCGCAGAACTCCACGCAGCGGCGCAGCGAGTCGAAGCAGACCCGGATTACCGCGGGGTAGACCTCGCAGTAGGACCGCAGTCGTCGCTTTTTGGCGCGCGTCCAGAGGCGGATGTGCGTGAACGAGCGGAGATGCGCCTGCGCGGCGACGTAGTTCATCTTCCAGTAGTGCTCCTTGGCGAGACACTTCTCCGCGCGCTCCAAATATCCCTCCAATTCGCTATTGTTGGCGCGGGAACGGATGTCTCCGCGGCGGCAGGCGAACGTGTGGTGCTGCTCGAACACCGAGAAGGAGAAGAACCAGAACGTTTCCTGCCGCACCTGCTTGTTCAGCACCGCTTTCAGGAGCTGCAAGCCCTTCTGGTAGTCCTCCGCCTTGAACACGAAGCGGATGTAGTCCAGATAGATCGGCTGCTGCGGCTGCAGCTGCTTCGTCCGCAGCAGTCGCTCGAACAGCTCCGCTGCCTTGTACTGGCAGCCCATCTTCGCCACCACCAGCGCGATCTCGATGCGATCTCGCTCGTTGTACACGCCGGGCAGGCTCATGAACCGATCCGCGCCCGCGATCACGCCCTGCACGTTCCGCAGACGCTCCTCGGCCTTGACCAGCCGGCTCAGCAAGGCCTCGCTGTCCGGAATGCACTGCAGGCCCTGCAGCAGCACCTCTCGGCTCTTGCTGATCAGACCCTGGTCGAAATAGCAGCGCGACCAGTCCTGCCAGGCCAGATAATTGGTCGGATACTCGAGACACAGTTCCTGGTAGACACGCAGCGCCTCCTCCAATTGACCGCGTTTCTTAAAGTCGTTCGCCTGCTCCACTTGCTGGCGCGGCAGACCCGACTTCCACGTCGATTTCCCGCACTCGCCGCCAGCCGCCGAATGCGGATTTGAGGATCTCGGTGGCGGATTTGAAGATCTTGACGGCGGATTTGAAGATCTTGACGGCGGATTTGAGGATCTTGACGGCGGATTTGAAGATCTTGACGGCGGATTTGAGGATCTAGGTGGCGGATTTGAGGATCTTGACGGCGGATTTGATGCATAGGGGGGATAGTCGGAGGGGCGATGGCGGGTTGGAGGGACGGAGTAAGGCGGGACCACACGCTGGGAGGGAGGATAGGGAGGGTAGGGAGCGGGTTCCGCGGGAAAAGGGTGCAGAAAAGGGGAATCGTCTTCCCAAAGAGAAGATTCGAAATGAGGAGGATGAGGATGATGAGGACGATGATTAGGAGAGGGGGTAGGAAGGGGAGAATACGAAGAGTTGTACGGTTGTCGGTAGGATGGGTTGGGTGATATTCTGGTTTGAGAATATGAAATTGGGTTGGGAGAGGGAGGAAGGCGGAAATTAGGATTATGGTGTTCTGGGTAGGAATAGTAAGGATAGCGATCTCGAGGGATTGAAGTTACCTGAGAATACGGCTGAGGGGAACGAAATTGCTGTTGTTGTTGGAAGGGAATGTAATTTCTAGATTCCGAGCGTGTACAATCAAAATACATATCGATTCCAGCAGTTTCAGGGTAGTGGAGAGGGGAATAAGGCTACACAATAATCTTCTTCTTTCGAGGGACTACATTATGCGGATACCGTTCGTACATGTATGGTTCATACCGGCGCTCAGTGGGAAAGAAAGAGTACTCACCAGAAATAGAACTGTCGTTACGTCCACTCAAAGTTGCCTGATAACTATCATTATTTTCTATACTATACGGGTTATTCTACATGGTTAAATCTCGGACTCCGTACCCACCATTCGTTTAATTTCGAAAAAGTGCAGTAAAACACGGTCTTTGCGATGTCTCTAAGTGAAGAAATGCTTCTACCGACAATAGGAGGATAGAGCTCGCAAAAATACTATCACCAGAACGTTTCAACACAAACAGTCCAGTCTTGTTTTTCCTTCGTACCCTCTTTTTCTTTTTCCTTTTCTTTCTCTTTCTCTTTCTCTTTTTGGGCCTGCAGCACCTTCAGACCGAACCGGTACATCTTGATCAGTCGGAACAGCACATTCAGCGAGATGAACAACAACAGCGGCAAAATCAAATAGAGCATCAGTTTGTACACGTTCATGTCCCGCACTCCATAAAGAACGGCTCTACACCCAAGAGAAGTGAACATCGGATAGAGCACCGCGCACGCCAGCGCTCGCAGAACTATCGGAAGGTACTACAACTTACTGCCTTTTTATGGAATTCCAAACTTCAAACGGCCACGCGTCCGAGATGCGGCACAGCATTCCCAAAAAGACCGCCACAGCACACACATAGCGCCAGTTTTGAATATTCAACCCCTCCTTCTTCTCGATGTACGATAAAACATTCTTCGGATACACTCTCGATTCAAACAAAATGTAGTGCGCCTTTCCGTCTTTTCGGATCGGCATGATGCGGTAATCGTTCTGAATTCCGTACACTGTCACCTCGAACGGCATGCGCTCCGTTTCGAAGCCAACACGAATATCTCCCACCATACATTCCGCATCCCACTTTTCTTCCTCTTCATCTGTTAAAATCGTCATGTTTTGCCTTCCTAGCTTATCGGTGCGGCCTACATCGCGAATGCTGCTATAGTACCAGTATTTGCTAACATAGAGGAATCCATGCTTTTTCGTGCTAGATGGAACGTATTGTGTGGAAAAACTCGTCGCCTCATAGCGATTTGTGAAAGTGTGCTAGCAGCATGAACCCTGAATTCGAAGTGTCTACTGTGTGGTTGAAAAAGGGTGGATCGACTACGTAGGAGCCGATGAGAATGCGGCGCGGAACAGAAACGCGAGAAGGGAAGGGATCACGATCAATGTTGACGTGGTGCTCTTCGTCTACGAAATCGTCGGAGGAAATGCTACAAATTGTGTAGAGTCGTTTGAGCAGTACAGGTGATCAACCCAGCCTTTCTCATACGAAACAGTCCCGTCAGCATTCTTCACCTATGACATTAACTCTATTGAACTTAAAAAAACAATACCTCACTCCATTGACAATACTCGGTAATACGACGAACACGCAATTGATTTCCAAAGTTGAGATCAAACTCCTCCTCGCGAAGAGAATGGTGAGGATGTGGCTGTACCATTACACTCTACTCAGAATTATACCTTCACATGCATTGAATAAAGCATCACAATGTGACGATCATACAAATTCCGGGTACGATTGTCATCCGGAAGGATATACTACACTTCGATGCTCGACAACACGAATACAGCTTGATTTACATAGTTTTCAATCTCTGCAGCCTTATCTCCCAAAATGCGTTCTTGGAAGATAAGATAGTTTACCCCGATTAATATCAAAACAAACCCCAGTGTCTCCAGAACGAATTGGCCCAAGCTACGACATTAGCCTCCATCCCTCTCTATACCCCACCCCATTCCGTTCTGCTTCATTTCTTCGGTTTTAACTTCCTCTTTCTGCGTTTCTGCCATGAAATGCACAAAATTTCTGAAACAAACAGATCATCGATTGTACGACTTCGTTACGCCCGAATATGCCATCGCGCTCTTCCTCTTCTTCTACTCATCACCTCTCCTCCCTTTCTGCACCTTCGTATCCGCGTTCTGATACATCATCGGCATGGGCGTCGGCATGACGGCCTCATTCTGCGCCAGATACTTCTACTCCTCACCTCTCTCTCCTCTCCTCCCACTCTCAACAACACGAGCTTCAGAATGTCCTGCTTGAGTCGGTCGAGCGTATCGCAGATCCTCCGCGTGGCCATCCGCGGAATCTGCACGTTCAGTT